ATATATATATATATATATATATATATATATATATATATATACGAACACGTCCGCAGCAGGCCAACTGTCCGCAAGGAACCGGACCCCTGATGAATGCAGTATAGCTCGAGATACGTCCTCACCTTTGAGGCGTCTGGCTTGGTTGCTCTTTTCTGTTTAATTTCCTCCAGAGAAATTCCCACAATTGCCTTCTGCACTTTGGCCCCCTTACGCGTTCTGCGTTTCGCCACGGACTCTCCTCTGCTCTTCTTGTTGGCTCGGCGCCAGACCTTCGACGCAACCCACACGCAAACACTGCAACCCAAACCCTAGGAACTAAACCCTAAACCCGATGCATGGAGAATACACTACAAGCAAGGTTTAGAAACATCAATGTTCAGCCCATCCCCTGTTGGCATTCCTTCGTTGAGGAAACAAACCATGCTGGGGCTGCAGCTGCTTCAGTGTACGCGAACCTTAGCACCGAGCCCTCACCAAAACATCAGGCGCGGTGACTCTGGCCGCAAAGAGGAACACCAAGCAAAAAATATGAAACAAAACGCATTCTTCCCTAGCAACTCAGTTTCTTTGTTCGCTGAGAATGCTGCAACGCGCAGGCAACTCGCGAGGCCATACCAAGGTCCAGCGTAGTTTCGCTGCCTTTAGTTTCTGTCTGCCGAGGCGGGCCTCCTTGGAGTGTATGTATGTGTGAACTTTTCCATCACGAGAGACGAACTTCTGCCCCCGACCCGGATAGATACGGTACTCGCTGAAGGAGCAGAGCTCCGTCTTGATGGTGGTCTGCACGGCAGCCATCCTCGAAGTCTGCAGCCAGTCATCGCGAGAAATCACAAAAAAAAGAGATAATAGTATTCAATTCATATTTGAAATCAAGAAAAAGGCAAGAATTATCAAAGAAAACCCAGTAACACGATGCATGCAACAAATCACGAAGGATAACCGGCAAGGGGAAACAACTAACAGAAACAGTCACTACAATATGCATATAGATGCCCCATATATTGAACTGAATATTTGTTCATCTTTTCAGAAATGAAACAATCAGCAAAGAGGAGAAGAGAACAAAACTAAAGGGAGCGGCTCAAGGCCCAACAGGTGACGCTGACGGACGCATCTGTTCTCTGGAAGGCACGCTGCATAAATTCGTGTTTAATTCGCATCAAGCATCAAGCGAAGGAAAAGAAAAAGGCGAGAAATTCGACAAAAAACGCATGGCATCACAAAATATGGGGCAGGCAGCCAGGACGGCGGCGCACAGCAGAGAGAACGGCGAAGATGAAGGCCTGCAACTCGACTGTATTCACAAAACACTGCAGCCTTACCGCAATTTAATTATCTCCTCCAAAACAAAAGGACAGCGCCGACAAATTCTTGAGCTCCTATGGCTCCAGTGAAGACAGATAACGGCCAATGCAAGCAGTTGTGGCGCTTGCGGTAACACCCCACATGCCGCTTCCGGGGCTGGGGGGCTGCAGCGCGTTGCATGCTTGTATATAAACCAACCGTATTGTATTTTTGTGTATTTCTTCAATTTAAACATTTCTATGGCGGTTTGTTCGCAGTAACCGACCGTCCCAGCATACCTACAGTGCCACTAAAGGACCGCACCGGAAGTGTGTAAAGGATGCACCGACACCAGTTACAATGGGTGTGCTGTCTGCTGAAAGTCAAGTAAATGTTAAACATTTGGCAGTGGTATTACTACGTACATCGAAA